TAAATTTGCATAATTACTATCATTTTGCAAATATTACATAGTTTAATATATATTTTGAATAACATATATTTCTATATATTAATTGAATATTTGAAACTTATTTTAGTTGCATAAAAATAACATATTTAACTTTGAAAATTAAATAAAAAAAATATAAACATTGAAAGAAATTTTAATTCTTACAAGAAAAATAAATGACATAATAAAAAAAAGATGAATTTATAGAAATCGAATTGTAAAACGATCATTATTGACTGAAATTGGAACAATATTAATAATATTAGAGTAATGATTTAAGATGATTTGGATGAAAATATAGAAAAATTATAATTTCTCAAAAAGTTGGTTTCTTCAATTTTAATGATTTTGAAATTTGAATGATGTTATAGAAATCAACATTTTGAGCAACTTTTTCTTTTATATATAACAAGTCGATCTTAGTTTTTAAAATAAAAAATATATATAATATATATAATATTATAATTTATATATAATGTATTTCTTTTTATAATTATAAACGAAATAATCTCATTTTTTACTGAGAATTATTATATTTCATGATAAAAGATAATATTTAGATAACAATTTGATTTGGAAAACAAATTTTATTTTTGTAAAATAAATAAAATGCTAGTTTCTTTAATACATGGTTCAAAATTTTTAACTTTGATTTTAAACTGATAATATTCAAAATATATTCAAAATATATGTCACATTACTTGAAAATTTGTTTTTATTGAGTTATTTCATTATATTAAAAAAAAACTATTTATTTGAAAATTAAACAAGACTAAAAATATAATATGCAAAATCACAAATATTTTTATTATTTCATATGTGAAAAATTAATGCCAAATATATAGAAAAAACTGATTCCGAATGTTGACTACTTCAAAATTATTAAATTATTATTTTTTTATATAATATTTTATTATTATTAAAAAAATTATTAAAAAACGATTCTTAAAATAGATGATTAAATTATATGATTGGAATGGATTCTCAAAATTAATAAAAGATATAAAAAAAAAATGTAGAAGAAAAAATTATAAGTTCAAAAGAATTCCCTCTACAGAAAAAATATAAAGAAATAGTTAATAAACAATTATTAGTCTCTCTATTATTTTTTCATTTTCATTTGGAATGATAAATTTTAATATCATTGCTAATTTCTCTCTTTTTATAAAAAAAATTTTTCTTTTATAAAGATAATTTTTTTTATAAGTGCAACAATATATTAAAAATTTTTTTTTTAAAGAAAATCGCCCGTAAAATCATCATTACACATCATATTTTATATATCATAATCATATTATTCATACTAATTTCTTTATATATTTTATAAAAAAAAATATTAATGTAAAATGTTCAAAAACTCGATATTTTGTAAAGTTTTATACATCATTTCATTATTTCATTTCATGTTGGAAGTTTTTTTTTTTATAAAAAGCGTTTCTATATATTCGTCATTTTCATCAAATTTCCTACAAAAAAATTTAAATAAAAATATATCGTATATTTAAAATAATTCTATGAAAAGAAATTAAGAGAATACAAATATAAAAAGAATAAATTTGATAAACTTATTTTAATTATCTTAGAATAAATATTTATCCATAAAGAACCTGCATCTTAATTTTTTGAATCTATGAAATGCGAAAATATATATAAAATAACTTTTGGCAAAATAAAAATGATTAATGTTACAATAATAGATACCAACTAATATTGCTATTATTATAACTTCATAATAATTTGTTGTCTACAAATTATTTTATATTTTATTTTTATATTTTTTATATTTCAAAAATCCGTAGAATGACGAAGTTCTCTGTGAATATTAACAACAATGATGAATTCTGCGAACAAGGGATATATTTTAAATCTACAATAATTCATAAGAAAGATAAAATTCTATGCAATAGAAATCTCTTTTTGCAAATATCTCAAAAATTAAACAGTGGCTATGTATAAGAAAAAATTATTTAAAATTTCATCCTTTAAAATTCATCGAAGAGAATCGAAAGTAACTTTTCTGTAAATTTAAAAATAATTGTAAATATCTAAGATCGAAAATAATTATTTTAAACTATTATATAAAAATCTTGAATAAAACAATTATGAAAAATATTTATTTCATTACATAAAAAATCATAATTTTCAATCAATATTATTTATAGAATGTTTCTTATTTCTGATATCATAGTAATCATTATTTATTTTGATTCTAAATCGATTCAGGAACGATTGTAGAATCAATTCTTGTATCGACTAATTGATATTATTATTTGTTGTAACTATATTATTTACATATTTTATAAAAAATATTTATACATATCATTGATTTTTAATAATTATTATTTTTAAATTTTTAATAAATATTAAATAATAAAATAGGTATATATTTTTTAAACTTATATACACCATATTATTTGAGATAGAAAATTAATAGAAGTTTCGATTTGTTATTTTTAATTTTCATTTAATTTCAATTATTGTAATTAATATAAAAAATAAAATATAAATATGCAATATAGCGAAATTAATTACATATAAATAATTAAAATTCATTAAATATATTATTTTTTAAAATGATAAAGATTGCGAAATATTAATATTAGAGAATTTTCACAAATATTCAAAACTCATTTCAATATTCCTTAAAAATATTCTTTGATCTTTCAATTTTTGATTTTGAAATCTCCTTGAACATATGTTAAGAAATCTATTTTGAGAATTAAAATAGACAAAATAAAAATTCAATTTCTTAGATATGAAGTTAGTTCAGTTTTAATTAATGAACGAAATTTTTAGTGCTAAAAAATTGAATAAATTAAATATTTATAATTAAAAAATAGTAAAAAATAATTAATAATAATATAAATAATTTAGTAGTTAAATAATAATTTGTTTATTTTATTTACAATTAAGTTAGGTTAAAACATTAAATAATATATATATATATATAATGTAATATTATACAAGAATATTTTAAGAATTGAGATAATATAAATAAATTAATTGCAATATATTGTTAAACATATTATACAGAAATTATTTTTCAGAAATTTCAAATATAATATATTTCATTCATTATATTTTGCTTACTATTTTGTTTTTGTTCTAATTTTATAACTTAAAAATTTTAGAATTATTCAATAAATTTAAAACACTTGAAAAATTACAATTCTAAAATTACAATTCCTATCCAAACGAATTTGCAATAATGCAAAAAGAGAAAAAAAGTATTGAAATATGAAATAATAAAAAAAATGAAATTTGATTTTATAGGTTAGATTAATAATTGATTCATCATTGATATTTTTAATCAAATAAAAATCACAAACGAAATCAATTAATGCAGACAGAATAATAATAAGATAATAAGAAATAAAAAATATATATAATTGCGATATATATAAATTATAGATATTTATAGAAGTTAATATTATAATATGTACGAAACAATCATAATATAAATATTCAATTTTTAAAATCTGAAATATTACATATTTGTGCATTAAATATTGAATTGTTTCACAAATACATTGTTGAATATTTGAAAAATATTATAATAAATGCAATAAATTTCATTATAAGAAAAAAAATATAAGTTATTACAATTAATAATGAAGAAAATATGTTAAAAATAATATTATTATTGAATAAAGAAGAGAGAAAAGAAGTCACTGAAACTGAAGATATAATTAAAAATCAAAATTTATTGAGATTGAAACACAAGCAAAAGAAAAAATTATATCTATAAATAATATCTATAAAAATGTTTCGAAGTTTTAAATAAAATAAATTATTATTAAATTAAATGCTGTTTATTAATTAACCGCTTCAATTATGAATATGCTAAAAAAAGACAAAGAAAAATTAAAAATAATTGTAAAAATGTTACATGCTCCACTTCTACATTAATAATTATTATTGCAATTAAATAGATTAAAAAGATTTTAAATTATTATTAATTTTAGAAATTTTAACAAAGCTAGCTATAAAAAAATTATAAAGCGAATTAATTATTCAATGCTATTCAATTTTTTTTATAATTTTTTCTTTAGAAATTTTAGAAATTAGATCTTTAGATCTTTTTAAAAATTCATCCAAATTATGTATTTATATTGTATATATGTAAAAAAAATTTTTATCGCAATTATTGCAATTATATAAACGGATTCTATTATAGCTTTAGATCAATAAAAATTTATTAAAAAATTTTTCAAAAAATTGATCTCAATTTCAATATTCAATAATCTTTTTTACTTTACCATATTATATTCATATAATGTAAAAAAAAAAGAATGCATATTACTGAAAATATTGGCTTTTACTATCATTCTTTAGTTCTATCACAATAAAATAATTTTATAAGAAATCACTTTAATATCAACATATAAATAGATATTATTAGATATATTATAAATTCTTTAAAAACTTAAAATTATTTATAATTTTTTCTTTCTTATTATGATTGCTTATTATACATCGCATATTTTCATACAATATGTAGTGATTCAAAAAATTATTCGAATACTTACATTTACAATCAATATATATTAAATATATTTGTTTAAAATAATACAATAATAATAGTAAAGAAAAAGTCTTAAGATTATATGAAAAATATAATTATATTATAAATAAAGTTAATTGAAAATTAATAAAATCTAAGATCATATTAATTAAAAATTAATAAAATTTAAAATCATATTAATTAAAAAATAATATGATAATAAAATCTAAGATCATTTTTCAAAAGAATTATGAATTATGATTCTTTTAACAAATTTGATTCTTATAGCAAAATATCTTGAAATAAAAAAAATTTTAATTTTGAATATCGAGACTAATGTAAATTTTGTGAGAAATTTTTCCATCAATGAAAAAAAATTGTAAAATTTATCTATTAAATTTGAAAGAAAAAAAATTCAATAAATTCAATTGATTTTAATTGAATAATAAAAAATTAAATATAAAATATATATACTTACTGCATCTGGAATTTCATAATATTGCAAATGATGCAAATATGTTGCTGTGGATTGTGCGGGTAGTTGACAATAACCACATTGAGGTTCAATCCAAATTTCAGAAATAATTTGAAAATCGCCAGAACCTTCACCATCTTCTACACTTACTTCACCATCTGCAGTACCTAAAATGTAATACAATTTCATCATTTAAATTAAATTATATGTAAACATTAAATATTATATATTTATTATATTATATATATTATATATTTGATATATTCTTAGCAAACATAATTACATATTTTCAAAAAAATTTTCTTAATGTATTAAGGACTAAATAATAAAATAATATGATTTTTACATATATCACTTTTTGTTATTAAAATATATTAAAAAATATATAAATTTGTCAAAAAATATTGTAAATATTATAATTATAAACAATTTCATTTATATAATTATTAAAATATTACATTTTTAGCTTTTTAATGCTAAAAAAAATATTTGAAAAATGTTGAAAAAATATTTTATATGTTATGATAATATAACATTATACAAAATATTTTAAAAAGTTAGAGACAAATTTTAGAAATATAATATTTCTTAAAATAAGCAAAAAGAAATATAATATAAATATATTAGATTAGATTAATATTAATTTTAAATTTATAAGACATTTTTATTAATGTATATATATTATATATTTCTTCACAAAAACATGTTGAAAAATCTTCCTTTTTTTTATTTTTCAAGAATAGATTTTTAATTATTTAACGAAATAATCAATTTATTATATGTTATAGTTTTTCTACAGAAAAAATCTAGCAGATAAATTTGATAAATGAGTCGAAGATGTAAAATTTTTTACACTTATACAAAGATAATTATAAGCATTATCATATTTATGTTTACATAAGATATATAATGTAACAATAAAAAATAACATAAAAAGAGGTAACAAATAAAAGGTAAAATAATGTAAATTTTGCAAAAATAAAATATTACTTCTAGTTTAGTTAAAATAGAATTGATAAATTGAGAAGAAATCTTCCATTACTTATAAATTCATAGTTGAAATTTTATAATTTTACATTTTATAATTTTGAGAAATGATAAATGATATTTAAATCTGTATATTTATTATATTTTTTTTTTTTTTGCTTATTTTAATGAAATAATATATGCTTATAATATTATAATATTTCCAAATATTTAAAAAATTCTATATAAATATTTATGTTTATACTTTTATGCAAAATATATAATAATTAAAAAATAAAAATAAAATAGTATTGTATACAGAATTCTAAATTTTAATTAAATAATCTAAAAAAAGAATAATTTATCATAAAATTTATATTTTTATATGATACTCTAAAATCTAAATGGAAAAATAAATGATTGAGTAACTATTTCATAATTCATAAAATAATGGAATTAAAGCAAAATTGCAATGTATAATCAACTTTTTAAGATATATAAGCTTTTAATTTTTTAGGATTGTTTCTATTTTCATTCTCTCTTTCTTCCTTATTTGTCATATCTTCCATTAGTATCAAAATATAAAGAGTAGAGATCATCTATTCTAAGCATTATGTAACAATTTCGAATTCTGAATTTTTATCAAATTATATGATTATATTTCAATTGATTTGTTTTATCAATTTATTTAAAATAATCTAATATAATACTTGATAATTATATATCTATGTTTTAAATATGCTAAATTAATTTTAAAATAATGAAAAATTGCAGACAATTACATCAATTTGATTTTTCTTTTTTTAAAGATTTTTATAATACATAAAATTTTTTATCATAAACACTTAAACATTATAATTAAACATATTTATCTTAAATACAATTTGTTTCGAAAGTATTAAAAAGTATTAAAAAATTGTTAATTTTTAATTTTTCAGTGATAAATATAATTTTAAATAATATATACCTTCGTCAGTATCTTCTTCTGATGTACTATCACGTTCTAATGTCGTATTGGAGGCAACATGTGGCGGAAACAAGATATATTGAATGATACATGGATATGATGTATCATTTTCACCAACTCCTTGCATTTCTACTTCAAGAACCATATTTATAATACCCGCTGCTGAATATGTAAAATTGAAGCCCTCAGCTAAACGTATTCTATGAATAACATATACAATAAATATATATAATATTTTTATAAATTATTTTTTTATTATTTTATAAATTTATTATATTAATTATAATATAAATCAAATTTCAATTTAATGAAAAATTTGTTTCTTCTTTGTTTTCTAAAAAATTATTTTTTATAATATTATTATTATTCAAGTTAGTATATTTTTTGACAGAATAATATGATATCTCTATATTTTTAATATTTATACAAACTATAGCATACACAAAGATATATTATAGAAATATATAAAAAAATATTCTTTTTTTAGTAATATGTGAAAATTGCAGTTTTTTAAAAATTATTGTTTATATAAAAATTAAATATAATATATAATAATAAAATATGTTAATGGCAACAAATAGATCAAACTTTTTTAATATAATCATTCTGCAATAATTAATAATATTGTTACGAGTATGATAATTTAATATAAATTACAATAATGTGAAACATCATGGCTAATATGAATTATGGCAATATCGATTGTCATCGAAATTAAAAGTATAGATTTAATGAAGTCTTGTATTGATCACAAAACGGACATGTTCTTTTCAAGAATATTATATTGTTTAATAAATTATTATTGTAAATAATCATTAAATTAATATTAAATTGTAATTAATATAAAAGTGTGTAAATAAAGTTATTATAAGAAAATGAATGTCAAGCGAATACAACAATATACATAATCATAAATAAATAGAAGATTATTTCTATAATTGAAATAGAAATCCAAAAATATTCTATTATGTTATCATAGTATATTTTATGAAATATATATTAATAAAATATAAAAATTCATTTCAAGAATTTGAATCATTAAAAATCTTCAACTTTTTTCGTCGATATTAAAATTATTTTCGTTAAAAATATAAATGAGATTGAGAAAATAATTAAAAAAACACAAAAAAGCATAAAAATTTTTTTTTCAATAAAAATTTTATATTTTTATGAACAATAAAGATATAATAAAACATTTAAAACATTAAATAATATTAAATAATAGGTAGAACATAAAAGTATTTTTTAATAAAATTTAATTTTTCGAAGAAAAATTAAGTGTTCCTTTAATTTTTATTGTTGAGAATTTTTTTATATACTCGAATAGATTATTTAAAAAAAATTAATAATATTTTTATAAATTTATAATATATCATTTAAAAATACAGATTTTTTCAAATGAGATAGATGGATATAATCATTGAATTTTTTGTATAAAAAATATGATTTAAATGTATAAAAAATATTATTTCTTTATATATTTAATTAGATTTAAAAGAGATTTCAAGATTTTTACTTTTTTAACGAATTACTAATAAATTTTCAAGATTTTAATTTTTTTTAATAATCACTAATAGAAAAAAATATAAATTAAATTTCATAAAAAAAATTTCATAAAAATTGGCAATTGTCATTTCAAAAAATCCTTATCAATCAAAATATAATTGTTTTCTATATATAATTCCTATAATGATTCCAAATTATATTCATAAAATAAGATAAAATTTTTATCTAAAAATTTATTATATTAGTTTAATTTTCTTTTAAATATATATGTTTATATATTTTTATAATATTTTAAATATGTTTAATTTTTTAAATACATAATATATAAATAATAAAGTTTTAATATATATGTGAATAAGAAGCTGTGTTATCTCAACAATCATTATAGGATAGCAATCATAATTAACATTTAGGAATAAAATTTTTTTAATAAAAAAATCAATTTTTCTTTTATCAATTTAAATAAAATTTGAGCTAATTGTTTTTTATTTAATAATCATTTCCTATATTAGGACCTATACTAATTTCTTCTACTTCACGAACCAAATTTGAATGATCTCTGGCGATTCACCCAATTTTTCAGTTTTAAACAGTCATGTTATGAATATGCTTTCATTCGTAATTATTTCATTTTTCCATTAGTCACCATATATACATATGTTGTATTTTTTCCAAGGCTATACATATGTTTAATGATGATTTAATTTGTTGATAGTGAGATTTAAATATAATCGAAAGTTTTTTAGATTATAGTAAGACATATGAAAATATAAGAAGCCAATTAGCTTGCAGGTCATCATTTTTAAATAATATATATATATATATATATATATATCTATATATTCTTGCTTTATATTTATTATATTACTTATGAAAAAAATTTTAAATACTTCTTTGAAACTATTTTCTCCAAAAATTTTATCAAAATTGATAATTTCATATTTTTTAAAAAATTTTAAAATAAAATAAAACGAAATATTAGTAAAAATACTTACTTTGTAATTGTAGAAAGAATTCTTGCGATTGCAGTTATATTTAATCTTGGTAATATAATTCCAGGAATAGTTTGTACGAAAGGTCGTTTCACATGCCAAATCCAACGATTATGGTACAAATATCTAGACAAACTAGTTGTCAAAATACCACCTAACATTGGCGTAAGTCTACTCGATGTAGTTTGAGTCCCATCAGGAAATATAATTGAATTCAAGTCACTTGGCATTCGTTCATATCTAATTAAAATTTTTTCTAAAGATTTATGAATAATAGTACAAGATGGTGTTTCTTTTTGTTCTGTAGGTCTATTTGGTAAAGTAAGTTTAGATAATCGATCTAAAAGATCGACAACAACATTGTGTCGAACAACTCCTTCTGTTCCAGCTGCAAATGCAATGTTAAGAATAACACAAAGTGCTTTGCAATTAATACGAATTAATGAGAACGAAACTGGAGGTTTATCAGCTTCTCGATAAATAAATTGTACATATGTATGATTTTCAACGAGAACGAAAGTTGCCCAATTTTTTAACATAGCATAAAGAACAGCAGCGGCTTGACGACTTTGAACACATTGAAAACGACCACTTTGATTTGCTTGGTGTAAATGTCTTGGCAATGGTCTATCATGTGATAAAATCAATGTTACTCTTTGTGTATGCATCCATCGAGCCCATTGTAAAGGATTCAAAGACACTACAGGTTGCCAAATTTGTCCAAATTGTGGGCACGCAGCATCACTGAAAATAAATATAAAAACATCAATTTTATAAGTGAACTTAATTTTTTTCGTTTATTAAAATCACATAATGATTTAATAATATTTAAATAAAACTTTCGATATGTATACAATCAGTCATAAAAATCTTCATACATTATAGAGTTCAATTAATAAGTTATGTTATCAAATCAATAATAACATAGTTTAACTAATAATTCTATTTTATATAAATTATATAAAAACATTGCGAATATATATATATATATATAGATCATAATGAATTATATATAAAATAATTTTTTTATTAATGAAATATGAAATATCATTTCAAAAAGATAAAATTAATCTTTAAAATTTTAATATTATTTTCGTCTTTTAAAATATAATTTCAAAATGACAGGTTAAAATTTTAAAAAAAGTTAAAATTTAAACCATAATATATTTTAAATTTCTATTATCTTGTTAAAAATATTTTCAAATCAAAATCGTATACAAAAAATAAAAAATTTTGATAATGATAAAAATTTAATTAATTTCACACATTCAAAAAAATTATTTTACTCTAATATAATCTATTATGCTTTATTTGAAAACATACCTAAGTTGCACTGTACTAGGTGAAGGATAAGCTGATAGATAAAAAACTGGCATACCGCTTCTAATAGTATCTGGTACACTATACCATGTCCATCCAAATTCTGGAAACCAGCTAAAGTGTGCAAGCATACTGTCACCTTCTGTTAGAGATGTTAAAGTTGCCCAAAACCGATTAACAACACCTTGTCGATATTGCGATTTTAATGGTTTTTTTGATAAACATGTAATATCATGTAAGAATTCATAAGGAGCTATAACAAAATATTTTTCCTTTTTATAAATAATTAATATTGTATTCTAAAAAAGTAGAATTAAAAAAAATTATAACATTTAAACCATAACATTTATAACATTTACAAACATAATAAATATTTATAAAGACTTTTAAAATTTTAAATATAACAGAATAAAAATTAAATAAATAATTAAAAATATATTTTTAATTTAAACATGTATTCAATCTCGTTTCATTCTTT